AATTCTAAGAGTCTATCTCCACGTTCATTTCTAACGCCCAATCCAAACTCACCAATCCATGGTGCCACTGCTCCTTTACCAATTTTGGCGTTAAAATCCCCTAGGATGATTGTTATCTCACATTTTTTTGTCAATTTTAGAGCGGCATTGAGTTGATTATAGAATATTTCAATTTCCTCCTCATCTTTGTCGGCTGTTGGAGCATACACCTGTACTATGTTTATTGGAAACAGTCTTTGAATTAAGTTTCAGAATCGCGACTCTGTCTGATATTGGAGTAAAGCTTATTACTGTTCTATTAATTTTGTAATCAACGAGAATTCCTACGCCATACAAATGTGATGGGTCATCGTTTCCTGAGTAGTATAGCATTCCGTTGTTTGTTATACATTTACTGTTCCTTGCCATCTCACATCGCTAATTCCTAATACATTTACATTCAAACGTTTCCATTTCTAAGATGGCATTGTCTAGTTTTCCAGCCATAAACAGACTTCTAACATTCCATGTCCCAACTCTAATACCTAGTCTAGTTTTGTTCGACTTGTTCATGTTTTTTACAGGGATTTTGCATGTTGACGACCGGAGAGGCCCATAGTCTTGCGATTGCCTCTCCTGCCGGATCTTGGTATCCGTATTCCATGATCAGTAACATTTTGAGTAGGTCTTTACTAGCCATGTTGACTTCACTAAGGATGTTCTTTTGAACCTTTAATGCAGTGGTTTCCCTTGCCTTCTGCTTCTCTTATGCCGTTGACCGTATACTTGGCTCATCCGCCTTTAGGGTCGATTTCTCAGCCCAAGGACAAAAGAGTGCCCTACCACTTACCAACTCATCCGTCCGAAGCCGTTGGTCAGTAAGTGGGGGATTGCTTATACGGCAATCGTTCGGTGGAATTTTCGCCATATCTGGCTACCCTCACTTAGTTTAGCCTGCAGACCAATGCAGTTGCCCGGGTGTGGCGCACGTGGAGCCATAAGTGAGAGTTAGCTGTCCTTATGAGGACCAGTTTATCAAGAACCATCTCCGTCTATGACGCTCGATGTGGTCTGTTCCGATACAAGGTGCTACCTCTATATAACACAACTTTCTACACGCACCACTAGAGATCTTCTGGAGGCAAACCAATACAAGACAATCACGTGCACCACTACACTTTCCCTAGGGTGGCTGGTTTGGAGAGAGAGAGAAGGTCACCAATGGAGACACTGCGAACGGCAGCCAGATGGGTGGGTCGAGAGCGAGTTCGTGGGTTCGTGAAACTAAGCTTTTGGAACCGGGAATGGGTCCAAACGCTATAATATTAGTGGAAGATAAGACAAGATAAGATATTGGAGAAAAGATTTAGTACATGAAACAGAAAAGATAATGATGGTTAAAATTTCCCAAAGGAGTAAGATAAGATAGAAATAGGGTCTACTTAATTTTTTGGGGTTTAAGGAGAAAATTAAGAAACCTTAGAAAAGAAAAGAGATAAGGAAAGATATTTAGGTTCAGAGATCGGGCGTGCATGATTTGGACGCTAAATTTAAAATTCGACGCTGAAAAATAAAATTGCCTGTTTCTGCATACATGATTTGGACGCTGGGTGTAATTGAAATGTAAATGGAGAGTCAGGTAATAAAATTCTAGAGATTAAACCTGATAAGGTTTATTTGTTACTTTAAAATAAATACGACATACATTTTACGAAATGGAATCGATCGATACAGTTCGTTTGATACTTATGTATCCTATTTCTAACGAACATAATTTTTTTTCTACTCTTTGGATCTTTAAGTCTATTACTTTCACTATTACAGACACTATTAATTTTAATGTAAGTTTCAGTTTGAAAATTTTTCAATAAAGTCAATAAAATGGAAAATATTTGGATGAGCATGGTAAAATTATCATTAAAACGCATGTGGAACGATTCACAAGCATTAGTTGTTAATTGTAAACTCTCACTCATCGCAGCCCACATTTCCGACGGAAATGTTGCGTGGTCGCCAATGTAGTTGTCCAATAAGTAGTCGGAAAACTTTTCAATTTTTGAATCCTTTGGTTGAATAGCCATAAAATCACATATGAAAGATTCTTCGACTTCTGAAGGAGGTAAAAATGGTAGCCCAAAAATATATTTCAGCCATTTAGATATTTCACTGTCTGCCAATTTATATTCCCGAATTAAGCCACAACCACCGATATTACGATACCAAGCTTGCATAAGATGAAAACGTGCACATTTGGAAATTCAAAACGCGCAGCATTGTGGAGAGCAATTTCAAAATCGGAGAAAATGATTTTTGGATTGAATTTTAGACCAATTACTTCACATTTGCGTTTCAAAACATTAAATAGTTTTATATAGGTTTGTTCCGATTTGTTGGGAAGTAAACAATAACACAATGGTATATAATGTCCATTGATAAATACATGTATGGTAAAAAATTGCTTGAAATATTGAGCACAGTAACTAAATGTACCGTCCATATAAAACGTTTTACTGCCGCACAGAAAACGCATGTTAGTGTTACACGAGAAGATGATAATGTTAGAACTTAGTTCAACCGCAAATATAAAATTCTCGTCTTTAAGTGTTTTGATATTCATAATATTTACCGCAGCAATAGTTTCATCTTTACTTTTGGGCAGTTTCGATTGAGCCATTCGCCGTTCACTGTATATTTGATTTCGTATTAAATTAACGTCTTTAACAGACATGTAGCTCAAGCCATCTACATTTTCTTTCAACGCACTATGTATGATTTTGGACGGCCTTTCGGTTAAAATATCCTTAGCCTTCCTTTTGTCACTGCTACGCACAATCTGTCTATTAAGCGTCTTGATATAACACTCGTGATTATGTTCTAGATTACTTCGGATCACTAACTTTTCTGGCCCTTTCGTGAATATCTCCGCTTTACACGACCGTTTTGCGCACCTCCAATACGTTTCTCCCGATTTTAGTACTTTATCTTAAGAAAAAGTAAAACTGATGACTTTGAGCAAAATTTTACCACGATTACTTACTAACGTTGAAATTTCCATGTTCACTTTTCACTATTCTCTGACAACCTAATAACTAGTAACTAAGTAAATTTCAATGACCATCATTAAACCCTAATTATATCTAATAGCTGGTACCTGCGATAATCCTTCCATCAGCGTCCAAAACAAGGGTACTTTTAAGACCCTCAGGTACTTCAGCGTCGAAAACATGCTCGCCCCAGAGATCAAACCCAAGAAAAGATATTAACAGGTAAATATTAAATAAATTTGGTCAACACTCTACATAAGCAAATAATAATTATATTAAGTATTATACCTACTTACCTACGAAACTTAATCAGCCTGATCTTTCTTCTGGTCGAAGGTATAATAATAATTTAATATAATAAGCAAATATTCAGAGGTATTTTTATATCAGGAAACTTGTTAGGAGTCGACAAATAAAATGCGTATATAAAACAAAAACAATATATTCAACAACTAAATGATATCGGTAGCTGAATGAACACACAAGATAAAAATACACTATCAACTATGAAATGGTGGTATACATATAAAAATAAGCAGTAATATGAATAATAAGTACCTTTACAAATACAACAATATAATAATGCACAGGTTCAATTATCAGATAAGAGAGTCTAATGCTGAGTAAGAAAAAAAATTCAACCAAAGTTGATTAAGAAAGTCTGTCTTTGCTGTTTAATGGGCATACCTCGAGATATTGGGTATAGCAAATAAAAAAATGAATAATAATTATAACAAAAAAAGGTTACAGAAACAAAAATTGGACCCACCCGCACTGGTCGTAGTTAATTATCTATCTCGCACTGTTATTTGATGGTTGAGAACTAAATGTGCGTAATTATTGTTTATCGAAATTTCTTAGTAGCTGATGGAAAGTTCGTAAGAAAATACAGAATGTTCTTTAAATTGAATGCAAAATTCAGTAATTACTCTCAACTACAGGTGAAGAAATGGATGACTTTAGAATCGTCCAGATAATGGAAGATGATATGATACCATACGATATTACTTGCTCAGATAATTAAAGATACGATGATTACTTACAGTAAATCTTGATGACTGCTACACTGATTCACTAACACTAATACTATACTTGTATTAAGCACTGAAGTTAATAAAAATTAAAGGTACTTTATAACTATATTTAATCTAATACAATATAAGATCAAAAAAAACTCAAATATACAAGTGTATACACACTTATAAAGAAAATTGCACAGAGAATGGTACAATAGAGACGGTAAGATATGAGCAAAGCGTCTTTTCTCAACAACGGCCTACTCAGAAGTAAATTGGTTCCTATAAAATTTTACCAAAGTACCAAAGAAAGGTGGGATACCTCCTACTCAAAAATGATAGGACAGTTTTATGTATTTCTAAAAAGATAACGCGCATAATTACGTGGCAATGGTACTTGTTTCTTTTTAAAATATTTCGTACATTGCTAGAACTAATATCAGTTCTTGAAATTAGGATGCTGTTACAAAGACAATTGATTTCAGCTAGACTACATACATACTACATATTCACGCTATCTACACTAATATTTACACTCTTTAAAGTTTAACGTGGATTAAAAAATTGGTATCTGACATCGATGGATGATATCTGACAGGTATTTAAAAAAAAATGGTTCAAGGTCGTATCTTAAATATCTGCCATAGTTTATTTAAAAACAATTCAATTTATTAAATTATGATACATATTGGAAATATATTTAATGTCAGTCTTATTATTGATAGGATTTGGATCTTTTTTATGTGAATCATCTCTAATATGCATCTTTTGTTATAATTTTGTTATTTTTCATTTTTAAAATCAAAAAAATGGTAATCTATGTGTTAAATTCTCCTCCGAGATTAGGAGGAAATTATAAGAGCGTTGACATTCTTCCTGCATATTGTCTCCACCGTAGCTCCCAACATCAATAACATTAATTGTATTTTATATATTTTTATACAAACATAATATTTTTCAGGGATTACGAAAATTTGTGATAATAGGTATGACACTAACATGCATAGGCTCGTGGATTAAAGTAGGAGCAGTGCATCCAGATCGATTTTATGTAGCTTTTATTGGACAAACTGTAGCTGGTTTCGCCCAAATTTTTATACTGTCCGTACCTGCTAGATTAGCCGCTGTTTGGTTTGGACCTTCCCAAGTATCCTCAGCTTGCAGTATAGGAGTTTTTGGAAATCAGGTAAACATTTTCGTTTATTAAATTTGGGCAATTAAGCATAATATACAGTCAACGTTATTAAAATAATAACTTTTCATCTCAAATACGTTGTATTAAGGCATAAAAATTAAAACTGTGGACAAATTTAATACAATCGAATGGCTTAGAGTTGCATTAATATTTTTTTGTCTAAATACAAAATCCTTTATCAAAAGGGTACTATAATTTCTTATTTTACACTTTAATTAAACAAAGTTTGAAGAAAAACTGTTTAAAAACAGTAAATATATATATATATATATATATATATATATATATATATATATATATATATATATATATATATATATATAGGTTGCTATAAGGCTTGCCTTCTTCATATGGTTTAAAAAATCTAATCGGCAAAATGATAGCAAACTTTTAATTCAACACTTTATTGGATATTACCTTATCTAAAATATTTAGATACGTTTGGTAAAGCAATTTTTGAATGAATGATTGGTATTTACTTCTCAGTCCTCAAGTAAATTATTTAAACGTAGATGTATACTAAACATCGGATGCAGTTGAGTTCCCTATTGTTTGAAGCTCTCTTAGGGGGGCGCCTCACGGTTTGAGAACGTATACTCTATAAAAAGTCTCCATAATTTCTTCGTGTTTTTTCGATTTTCGTGCGAAAATCAGTCATTTCCGATCTTATTGTTAAATAAGCTATAGTCAGTTGAATACTCCCCATTTTCTTGTAAATCTTGGTTTTAAGTAGTTACTTCCAATTTTTGCTTTCTGTACAATCATTAAAGTGCATGGATAATTTTATATACAGGTAAAAGAAATCTTCTCTAAAATTTCTTAAACCTCGCTCATTTGAATTCTAAATTCTATTTCTCTTCCTTCCGGAGGAAACGAACCTTCACTAACTTGTATAATAGGAGGAATTTTTTCTCATATATCTTGATTTAAATGTTATACAAATTCTCGGAACTTTGGCAGATCTGCTATATAAGCTATCATAATATCTAGACCTTTTATTTGACACTGGTTTACCCAGAACTTTTGTATTAAGGTAACATCGATTCAGCTAATCTCAGGACACTTAAATTTGCCCCGTGTGAAGGCGAGCCGCTCTAGTAGAATACCTTCATAGTTTCTCCTGCTCATCGTAAAATGCGATAAATTGGAGCAGCTGTCCGCTGACCACTACCCCAGTCCTATCTTGTCCCTCTGAGAATAAATACTTCCAACTATCATACGATACTCACCTCTACCCGTCATATACATCCTGATAGCCAAACCTATACCCGAGGAGAAAACCTTTACAAATATAAAAACCAGTGGAGGAAATCACTGAACACAAACGGATATGCATAGGGAAGGCGGCTATGCATAATACTAATATACCGCCTCCCGAACCGCAGGGCGTAACACCATCGTGCCAAAGGGGTGCATGGCCCAGGGGTAACATAGTGGGCTACAAGCGAGGCCCAAGGGAGGTGGCGAACCTGAATAGCCGTGGAGAGAGTGAAAATATGAGAAGAAAAAAGAAAAAAATAAAAAAGACGGAGGAGGAAGCAGCAGGGATGAAGGAGAAAGTAGAAGAGGGGGAGTGAAAGATAGGGATGAAACTCAAGAGAAGAAAAGTTGGAGGAGAGAAGTGGAAAAAATTGGAGCTAGAGATAGCGCAAGCAGAAGTAGCGTAAAGGATAAGGAAGGAAGAGAGAAACAGCAAACTGTCCGGGGACAGAACTCTGACGATGAATCGAAAAAGCTGAGGCCAAGAAAAAGAAAACCAAGCAGCAGGACAGAAACGACCAGTTTGGAGGAAAAGGGACAGCTACTGAACAACAAAGCTAGATTAAGGTTGAAGCGTTTCCACGCAGCGTAGCGGAACTCGAAAAACTCATGAGGAAGATGCCAAATACAAGGCTATCCATAAAGAGGGAGGTCGAAATCTTGAGAAATCGAATGTTCGATTATATCGAGGAATTGGAGGAAAATAAGGAAGAAGGGGCAACAAGCAAGTCTATGTGCATGACATCCAGAGGCGTGCATATTAACATGAAACCCTAAAAAGTTAAGAAGATGGTGACAATGGGGCTTCAAGTGGACCTAGAGAACCCAGAAGCCATTAAAAGAAGGATAGATGCTATCGCGGACAAGATGGCAATATACAAGGACGAGAAGGAAACAATACAGTTTCTCAATGAAGACTGGCCAGAGTAAGTCTTCACGATGACCATAGTAAAAGAAGGAGACATCTCGGAAATAACAGGAGTGGCAGTCTTTATCACCAAGAACTACGAGGACAACAAAGCCGTGGAAAAGGCCAAAGCAATGTTTCTGCAGCTACCAGGTGCTCTAGCGGAGGTGGACGAGGAGGGCGGTTTGGGAACTATGAAAGTCACGATGTCTGCTCATAAAGATGGAACGTGAACCCACAAGGAAAAGTATGGATTCAAACTTCTCACAAACAAATAGGAAGAACCTGTGCCGGTGAAGTTCCTAATGACATGCAGGAAATTGGTACAGAAGATGGAGGAGCTGGAAGAAATATCGTGGGAATCCAGACGCCGACAGCACTGGGAGTTAAAGTATCGAGGAGAATTATGGAGTGGGCTGCAAGAGGAAGGGATGTGACGATCACGCTCCTAGGTAAGAAAATAACAAGAAGGTGGGCCAACATTAACACCAAGCCCAAAGAACAAAATGGAGTCGTAATCATTAGCAAAACCAAAGAAAAATTCTTTGTGGATCTAATGACAGAAGTAAAAAAAATTACAGGAAGAAAGGACATTGACATAAAAAGGATCAGACAGACAAGAGACCAAGGAATATCACTGGAGTTGGGCGGAGGACGAAAACTGGCATCGGAAGTAAACAAACTCCTCTCTGATAATACATGCGTGTCGAGAGCGGTGGCAAAAGGGGGCATTGTGAAGAGAATAATCTTGGTACAGGAAATCCCACCCAATACAACGGAGGAGAAGATCCAAAAGGTCATGGAGGAAGCAGCTGGCAAAGAGTGGGCCTGTGACATCATAAAAATTTGGACCGAAACACGAAACGCGACCGAAAAAATCGTGAAATGAAACGAATAAAGTACCTCCTACACATCCTGCTGAGTAATAAAATCAGGGGTAGATATGCCGTGATGCCTGAGATGTCTCACCTTTGGACACAAACAATGGCACTGTAAGAGACAGAACAGAAAAGATTGTTGCCCCCGATGTGGCAAAGAGGGTCACATAGCGCTGGAATGCAAAAAAGAAACAACCAGATGCCTCAACTGCGACCTGACCGGACATGTAGCGAATTCGAGAATATGCCCAAAGTTCAACCGACAAGACTGGGAAAAAGTATCGCCCCATCTGTCTTCTTCCTGACATCGGTAAGCGGTATGAAAGGATGCTGCGAGTACGCACAGACGACATGATTATGAGGTCAGGTGGTTTATCTCGGAGGCAATTTGGTTTTTGTAGAGGGAAAAGCACGATTGATGCAATCGTGAGTGTGCTCGAAGCATTGAACAACAGAGGGGATAAATATCACTAGACAGCCCTGCTATTGTTCGATGTTAGGAATGGATTCAACACCTGCAGTGGAGTGAGGTAATGAAGGCAATGGAGGAGAGAGAATGTCCTGGTTACCTGATGAATTTGGTGGTGGAGTATCTGTCCGAGAGAAGGATTATGGTGGAAAACGGCAAGATCATGGACGTGACGGCTGGGATCCCACAGGGATCTGTCTTGGACCCGACGCTATGGAACCTGGCATATGGCGGGGTTATGAATTGTGAATATGAAGAGGGTACAACCCCCTCCGCATTCGCGGATGACCTCGCTGTACTGGTAGTGGGCCGATATTTCGTTATTCTGAAGGGAAAAAGGAACAGGCAAAGTGTTGAATTACAATGTGCGGGAGCGTGTCTAACACCCAAGAAACACGTAAAGTACCTAGGAGTGACATTGCAGCAGAATGAAAAATTGGAAGAGCACGTGCGGGAGGTGGCCTGGAAGGCTGCGAATAGTGCGGCTGTGTTGGGGAGAGTTATGCCCAACATTGGGGGACCCAAATCCGAAAGTAGGAGGATCTTACACGGTGTTGTACAGTCGATCATCCTCTATGCGGCACCAGTCTAGAGGGGGGCGGTAGAGAAAATGGCCTACAGGAAGCTCATGACACGCGTGGACAGAACAAGTCTGTTGCGAGTGGCATGCACAGTCCTATAGGACTGTGTCTGCGGCAGCGTTGTGGACTTTGTTGTTGTTGAAAGTAGTGATTGTGAATCACTACTTTTTTTTAGCTAATATTTTGTGCCCCTTTCAACAATACTCCAAACAGAACACCGAAAGTAAGAGAAATAATACTACACAGTACAAAACGGAGAGATATCAATTGCACCTTTTATTTCAACCAAGTATTAAACATCTTTTTCAATCTAGATTAGAAAAGAAACTAAACGAGATGAAAAGAAATTTGGATGTAAAACAAGAATACAACAACCTCAAAACGATAATAAACAAAATTGCTTATGAAGTATTAGGAACAGAGAACAACGACAAAAAAACACCACGAATCACCATGGATGACAAAGAACGTAAAAAAATGATACAAGAAAAAAACAAAATATATTAGAAATGACTAACAAATAAAAATCTACCAATATCATAGCAAAAAACGGAGAAGTACGCAATCAAATAAAAAAGCAAAAAACAATTTCTGGGAACAAAAATCTCTCCAAGTTGAAAATTTATTTGGTGGTTTTTAGACTACGAAATCCTGGAGAACTATCACTAATCTAACTCCTTAAGCAACTTAATTCCTATAAAAAAGTGGGAAAATCGCTATAAAAATTTACTCCAAGAGTCCAGATTGAAATATATGGGAGGGGGATACAGTATGGAGAGACAAACAAATAGCAACATTATTACTACTAACAACGAGGTCCCTACTGCGTTAATTAAAGTGAAAAACGGGCGATAATATTGCCAGGTCCAGGCGAAAACTCCAAAACCTGGCAATAT